TTTCTTGACCTAGATAAATTTAAAGATAAGGAACTTTTTTAAACAGTTATTTGTGAATAATTTAATTAGTTTACTTAATAAGTCAATATTATTCGCCTTTGACTTACTTCGGCTTACATCGCGAGTAGTGTAGAGGCCGTCTTAAGGTGCATTCACATCGGCTGCGCCGCTCCGCGCTGCGCCGCGCATATCATTTTTTTAACATATACTTTTGTGCGCGCAAAAAAAAAAATATTTCAAAAGTACATATTAAAAGATTGTTTTGCGCGACGCAGCGCGGACCAGCGCAGTTGGTGTAAACGCACCTTTATAGACTTTAGACTTCTATTCACTAGGTAGTATGTATAAAACAGGATTCTGGAGGATTTAGCAAATAAAAATGCATTTTAAATTACTGATAGAAATTTATTAATTAAATAAATACAGGCTGTGTACTAGCTAATTAATAATGTGTAAATTTAAAAATCTTGGTTCAAGGTAGTCGGTTTCTGTGGTAGGCGTACCCATGCATCAAAGGTTATACAACATAATACTGAGAATATTCAGGTAAACAAAAATAATAAAAAACGAACTATACGTACTATGGAACTGGCAATGGTAATATTAAGATATAAAAAATGAAATTCGTTAACAATAGAAAGCAAGAATTAATTAATTTGAAACTGTTTTACAGAGTGAGTAAACGATTGCTTAAAATAGGTAGATTACTCTTTCTTAATTTTAGTTCAAAATTAATTTATTATTGATTGCTATTAACGAAATAATGTATGATATGCATTTATCATTTTGCCGTTAAAAGCCGAGCAATATAGATACCTAACGATGGAAATCAGCATGCAAATTCCGGAAGTTCACTCAATTTAAGACATGACTGTATTTCTGAATTTGTACGATCGCCGATGAAACGCCGCTTATATTTGCCCTCAGAGCAATAAAAACATAGTATTTTTAAGTTAACGTCTTCTTTTTGATACACTAAATCAGATATATAAAACCTGGTATCCTCTCTATTTCTCTGATCTGAACGGGGCTTACTTGTTTACGCGGAACTCGAACCGCTGTCCACGGCCATATGTATCATTGTCAAAAGCCTACCTACTTGGCGAGTGTCTAAATCGACTCTTACTCATGAATTATCCGATCTCATCCGGCCTCGAACCGGCGTGAATGAGCAGTGTGTATCAATAGATTTTACACCTCTCCAAAAAAATCCTTTATGGGTATTTCGCCACTGCACTGCAAGAAAATCTACAAAATAAAATAGTTATTTTTTGTAAACACTTCTGCGTTAAACCTACACGGACACTGCTTGTCAGAAGTTATGTTTACAGTTCTACAAATTTGCCTAACAAAGAAAAAAGAATGCTTAACGTTTCGGAAAGTTTATCCCTTTCCGTCTTCGGAAGCAAAGAAAAAACAAAGAATAAAGAAAAAAAAACTATTTAAAATATTTAAATTCAACTATTCGAGAACACTTTACTTTTTTAAAAATAGATACGTCTACAAGAAACCGTTGACGTTCTGTTACAATGAAAAAAAAATGTAAATGTTAAACGCAGAAGTGTTTACAAAAGATAACTATTTTATTTTGTAGATTTTCTTGCCGTGCAGTGGCGAAAAACCCATAAAGGATTTTTTTGGAGAGATGAATCCGCCATATAGGTATACATTTTTTACAATTTTAGATTTTACACTTTTGTCATGGAACAACAGCACGACGGTCTATCCACTCGTATCGTCTATCGTCGCTTAACTTCAGTATCTATCGGTGTTTCGACGTAGCTGGGCCGTTGCTTGAAAACATAGTATTAACTTATGTATAGTAGATTGGAGTATATAAGTACGTAATAATATGTTACGTTAGCCTGGATTTCGGGGTACTAGTGTAACAATGGCAACGAAAAGGCAGATGAAATGGCCAAACAAGGCTCATCAATGATATTCATAGACCCAAAACCCTTCTGTGTTGCTGCAGAAGCAATAATTACAAAAATGATCACAAAACAGACGGTCAGACATATTTTTATCATCTACGGTACTCTCAGCAAATGTTTTTTTTTACATGAGATTGCTCCATTGCTCGCTGTTTTCCTCTATATTTTCTTCAACATGTAGATATAATTTTTCCATCTTTTTTCACCAAAACTGCCTAAAATTGTTTTTATAAATGAAAGTATATAGAGCAGATTTCTTATCCTTCTGACTCTTGCTCTTCAAGAGATTTTGAGAAGTCAAAAAAGTGAACCAAAATATTTTGTTGTAATGCACCATTCAGGTTTTGGCAAGTTAGTTTTTTTGGATAATTTTTTTTTGGAGTGTTGAGGATAGGCTCTTCTGCAACCGCCACATACATTATTTTGGTCAACAAATATATAGAATAGTAATTACTTAAATTTTCAATTCAAGAAGATGCAGCTGAAGAAGAATTCTGGCGTTTATAGTTAGCAAACGAAAAAGTTCCTCAGAACTTACGACCGGAAAAAATCAAAGATTTTCCTTGATTTAAGTAAAAACAATCTTCGGATTGCCACGGGGCTTCTAACTGGACACTGTCTCGTCAACGAACACCTCAGTAGTTGAGAAACAACGGCGAATGTAGATTCCGTTTGGAAAATGGGGAAACACCAGAACACCTTATCACTGAATGCGCCGAGACGACGAGCGTTCCTGCCATGAACTGGCGAGGATGGAGAGCTGGCCCCTGTGGAGACCTAACCTAACCGTTTCAGATACTGATTTTTGTTAAAGCCCTGAGACTGTATGATGAGTTATAACTCGTTATAACTCAAGAAAGGGGAACACACAATAGATTTGTAAGGTCGCGGTGATTAACTCCCCTCCTAACTCCTTCTACATTCTAAATAATTAGCAAATGACATTGATAGTAAGAATAAAGTGGCTCTGACTTCAGTACTAATGTAGTAACTATATAGTTATTGAAGGCAAAGAATTGTATGATTCTTCTGTAGGATCCATATCCCATTCCTAAAAAGGATCCAATTTCCCCTGTACAGACCCGAACCTTCCATGACGCCACTAAAAGTAGGGAATGAAGCAATCGGAAGAAAACTTTGTAAAAACTCTTAAATTTACATTTCTTCTTTTCCACTGCTAAACGTACTATGCAGTTTTATAAACTACACAATTTATTGCATATGGTTATGTAAGTATATCAGTTTCTTTATTACTCCGAGTACTGACCCTATGCAAATTGCTCTTGCAACTCATTATAAATTCAAATAGAGCTTCGACCATTGGAATACTGAGTATTCGAAATAACATATCTACTGAGATCGAATTTATGCATATGTCCTCCACTCGAGCAGTAGTTGATGGTACAAAACTCGATGTATAAGTTTTAAAGCTTCAAGTAAAGGCAAATTTACAGCAATTGGGGAGCATTACTCGAAGGAATTGAATTATATTATTTACGTTTATAATGAATAATTTATTAACTGCAGAATAGTAACCATTCAAGATAACGCCATAAAAAGGAGACTTCCTATATAGCAATAAGAGCTTTATATTATCAAATCATTGTTAAATTCGTCAGTTTGTACTAATAATAGTCAAAACACTTTAGGACCCATTTTGAAGCAGTCTTTATTCCAAAAATTTGTTGGTTATACATTCTTGCAACAGGCAGGTTAAATTTACACATAATAAACCTATATTTTTGATTATATTTACAATGTAAACAACTTCCTACTTTGATCTTTACATTTTAGTTAGGGTACGTCTAATAAATCTAATTAAGTTTTATAGCTAGAGCATATAAAAATTAAACGATAATATACAAAGAGCAACAGCTATTTATTTTCTTTCGATTAACGCAAATCTATAATGCTGAAAACCAATTTTCAAAATTAATATTCATGTTGAAAAGTTAAATTGGACTTTTTTAACTATAAACACCTTTGTAGGTAGACAGGAGTTAATTAATATGATGTTGATGTTTAAAGAGGACGATTTTTATAAAACGATTTTTTGTGTACCATGTCTAAAACATTTTCGAACGTTTAATTTTTTTAATTAAAATCTATAATCTACATAGGTTAATGATTGAACAAATCGTAGACACAGTCGTAGACTTATATCAGAGTTTACCGAAAATTCTGTAAACTTTGTGTATACCTCAGACAAATAATAAAAGATAGACAAAATTAAATGTGATTAATGAAAACCAAAAGTCCATATTCCTAAATTATTAATTGAGCGAGGTCCGTTTTATCAGTATCAAGTAGGTATTTTAGACCCTGATTTATTTTAAGTGTTGATGGAAAGAACTGGGAAGATACGCAACCTAAAGGGTGATTTCGTGACAAGGCTCATTTGATTTCCCCTTGCGTCTCAAGTGCTGTAAGGTGGAGCCTCTACTCGTTTTGCGACCAACGCATAAAACACTCATTTTCTCTAATTCGGCTAGCGAAGGCATATCGAAGTCGGTGTGGAACTGAAAACGACAGTGTTGCCATATTAAACTGTGTAATATCCGTAATACGTTTGACGAACATATATCTTTGGATGAAAAATCCACAAACAATAGAATAAACAACAAACATAAAATTTCTTTTATAGGTACTGAATATTTCGTATGATCGAAAAAAGTCGTTTAGTTGGCTTGGAAATGACGAACTATTGATATTTACCATAATATTTTACACATGAAATAACAGCGAACTCTGACGCCCTTCTTTGTCTTATTATTATAATATTATATTAAATTGCTTAATGATAGAAAATCCGTATTATTAATGAACTGTACCCAAAATCTGCAAATCTTCGGATTAATCCGTAGTTCTAGCAACACTGACTCCGGCAACCATCCACTCTGTCAATTGAAAGCAGTATTACGATACAGTATTCTTTATCCGCTGCGCTGTAAACGACTATCAGCGCGCAGCGGCGCAGAGCATTACCAGCCTATTTCGCGAGTAGTGTAATGGCCATTTAAGGGTTCCTCTATTACGTATGTAAAAACACAATTTTAATATACTCAGGCGTACCAAAAGACAAAGAGCAACATCAGGCGTTGGAGTAGCTATAAATGATAAATATGAACAGAATATAGAAAGCATAGAATACGTGTGCGACAGAATCCTGAGAGTAAATATTATGTTTGACCAACCCATTCACATTATATCAGTGTACGCAACCGACATTAATAAACCTGAAGAAATGTCAATGGACTTCTACGAAAATCTACAGTCAGCGATAGACAAAATACCAAGACATGAAAAGATAATTCTGTTAGGGGATTTAAACGCAAGAATTGGAAACGAGGTAGTGGATGGAATAAAACAAAAATATAACGAGAATATAACTAATTGAAATGGCGAAATTTTGACCGAATTCTGTGGACAGAACGAACTGAGAATAAACAACACATATTTTCCCCATAAAGAACAACACAAATACACCTTCTATGACAATAGAAACAATAAATCAATAATCGATTATATCATCACCAATCGAAGTTTCTTACCTCAACAAATAATAGACATAAGAGTCTTATCCTCAGCCAACATTGGAACAGATCACAAACTTATGCTAGGAAAGATACGAATAGGTGCGCCGCTATCCAAAAAAAGACCATCGATAAAAACTGAAAAATTCAATATAGAATCCCTCAACCACGAAAGCACTAAACAACTTTATTCAAACAGATGCCAAACACTTGTCACTCTTAACCCCATAGCACAGTTTGATACTCCTAACACAGCTTGGAATAAACTGAAAGAAAACATCTGCAAAGGTGCTAAAGAAGCTTTAGGAACACGTACTGTATCACACAATAGAAGACCGAACATTAAACCTTGGTTTACATTAGAAGTCAAGAACATTACAAGGGAAATGAAGGAAAAATACTTACAATACAAGAAATCGCTTCAACACCGGAGAACCGAAATATTCTATACCGAAATAAGGAACAGGACTAATAATAGAGTACGAAAATTAAAGAAGAATATTGGCAGCGATTTAGTATTGGCGAAATGGAGGCGGATATGTACGGAGCACAAAAAACGTATTGGGAAGATGTTGAGGGGTTTGAAACGAGAAACAAATGAAACAATACAACTAAGAACAATTGCAGAAGATATGTGGGAAAAATATTTCCAGAGACTTATACGCAGAAACAGATGAACCAATGGAAGCACAAGAGACAAGCCAAAGAGATAATATAGAAGATTATGCGCAAATCACTTACAAAGCAAGTAGAAGAGACAATAAGGAAACTTAAAATAGAAAATCTCCTAATCAAGATAAAATACCAAATGAGCTAATAAAAAACGCAGGCACGGCTATCATAGAGGAATACACAAAACTGTTTAACATTATATTTACAACATAAGAAAATACCAGAAGAATGGAAACAAAGTATAACAATACCCATTTTAAAAAAGGGAGATAAACACAGACCCAGCAAACTATAGAGGAATAACATTACTGAGCACCTCGCTAAAACTTCTGACTAAGATCATTGCGGACAAAATCTCCCTCAATAGTGCCAATAAGCGAGGAACAACAAGGATTCCGAAGAAACCGATCAACTACCGATGCACTATTCATACTCAGGCAACTAGTTGAAAAATCCTTAGAATATAACTCTCCAGCCTATCTATGTTTTATAGATTTAACAAAGGCCTTTGATAGAGTTCAACTAAAAGACATCATCACCATCTTGGAAAGCAGTAATGTCTCGAAAGAACTCACAGAATTTATCAAGGACTTAACACAAACACAACAACACAAATAAGAACAAACTTTACCCTAACGCAGCATCTTCGAACTAGAACTGGTATTCGCCAAGGCGACAGTCTCAGCCCTCTGTTATTCAACACAATCATGGATCAAGTAATAAAAACCGTCCAGAATACTGGATTAGGATATCGAATGGGAATGCATAAAGTAAACATATTATGCTATGCCGATGACGCAGCACTTATTGCAGAGTCAGAGGACGACCTCCAAAGAATGCTACAAGCTTTTAATAGACAGGCAGAAAATCTTAACATGCAAATTTCCACAAATAAGACCAAATGCATGACCATTACAAAGGAGCTCTCTACGGTGCAAATTGGTAATAAAAACAAAACTATTGATCAGATAATGTCATTCGAATACCTCGGATGCAAAATTACAAGCTCAGGATTTCTGGAAGAAGAAGTAAGGAACAAGCCAATAAAGCTGCCGCAATATCAGGACATCTTAAATATCCCATATGGAAAAACAAACATTTGAGTACAGAATGTAAGTCAAGAATATACAAACCTGCATACGACCAGTGATGACATGGTGGTGCAACCAGAGCTGAAACATCAGTAACAAAGAGAATCCTACGAACTACTGAAATGAAGACCTTAAGAATGATAACTGGATACACATTGAGGGACAGACAGAGAAATGTAGACATAAGAGAAAAGTGCCAAACAAACGACGTTGTCAGATGGATAAGGCAGAGAAGAAGAGAATGAAACCAGCATGTCAATAGAATGGGCCCCGACAGAATGGCCATAAATAATTCGCAACAACGTACCCATGGCAGAAGACCTACTGGACGACCACCTAAACGTTGGCAAGACAGTTGGCAGTCAACCTCGCAAGAGTTGCTTAGACGAGGAGGAAACCGGAACTAAACAGGCGATACGCCTTCTAAAAGAAGAAGAAGAAGAAGAGAAAAACACAATCAATTTAACATAAGAATATTATTACTTCATATACGACATCATCGGGTAAGAGTGCTTTACCAGCGTCTCTTTCTGTTTTAAAGTAATTAATAAACTTCGCGATGAAAGCACCTTCAATATTACTAAATCGGCGAGGCGAAGACCTACTGGACGACCACCTAAACGTTGGCAAGACAGTTGGCAGTCAACCTCGCAAGAGTTGCTTAGACGAGGAGGAAACCAGAACTAAACAGGCGATACGCCTTCTAAAAGAAGAAGAAGAAGAAGAGAAAAACACAATCAATTTAACATAAGAATATTATTACTTCATATACGACATCATCGGGTAAGAGTGCTTTACCAGCGTCTCTTTCTGTTTTAAAGTAATTAATAAACTTCGCGATGAAAGCACCTTCAATATTACTAAATCGACGAGGCATTTTAGTTAAAATTTAATTTTCTTTGACAACGCTATTAATATATATTTTTGACATTGATCGATAACCGTCAGTAAAGATATAATCTCAAATCAAATGGCAATTGCCAGAAACGATGTGCAGCAATTTACGAAATGCCGTAATAACGTCACTAATATCTTTCATCTAGTTGTCATGTGAAGGAGAGATTTCGGTTATATATGACTTATACAGTTTATTAAAGCTTTAATAAACTTCTTAAACTGTCAATACCTTGGAGATATATTTATTTCTCCACCAAACACAAATAAAACTTACAAAAGACCTGGAAACGTTAAATAAATAAATAAATAAACACTCCTTAACTTCCACTGTAAATTTTCGTTAACCAAAAGGAACAGGCGACTACTGCCAGCCGCACACGGTTTTCCATTACAATAGACTCGAAAACTTTAGACAATAGTGGCCCCAATAAATCGACTTGTACTTTAGGAAAAGTCCCTACGCGGCAGAAAAATATCTGCAAAGATTTTCGCGCTAGCCGTAGAATCGAGCGAGGGGTGTTTAAATTTTTGTCAGCTCAGAGGTAAATATTTGACAAATGAAATTGAACTCTCGGAATGAACTGAACAGCGACACGGAATTAAGCTGCCGGCTTTTAAAGCGCCGTGTTTTTTAATTAAAATTTTCGAGTGGGAAGGCCATTTTTTGCGTCACGTGTTCGTTTGTCTCGAGTGGTTCGAGTTCTGTAAAGAAAGAACGACTTGTCCTTTTACTGTTTTTTAGAAACAATAAGCCTTTCTTTGGGAATTATTAGTTAAAAATTCTGAACACTATGGATCTACGGTGAAGGACAATTGTTTTTTGTTAATAAGAAATGGACTAGAATTTTTGTCATCTATACAGGGTTGTTCACCACATACGACACGGAGTATTGTAGGTAAACGGTTAGATTTTACAAATTGTAAGTTTTGGGTTCGTTGTAGGACCATTAGAGCTACAATTTAAAAAATAATTTTAAAAGATACAGAGTGTCCCAAATAAGTAAAAAAACATTATAGTTGTATTTTTTTAAATGGAATACCCTGTATATTATTCTATTTTTAGATTCTACGATTAAAATAAAGGTAAATTTGATTAAGGTTTATCACACTTAAACTTTTGCCGTTTTTGAAATATTTTTCAATTTTGTGAAAGTGCAGTAAAATTTAAGGCTTCATTTCTCCAAGGGTATCAGAGTTTTTAATACCACATATTTACTGAAGATTATTTATAGATCAGATATTGTGCTGCAATAATAAAAATTATACTTCCATATACAGAGTGTCCCAAAAATTTATATTAAATAATTACTAGCTTTAAACGACAATAACTTGTTTAACTTAAATGGAACACCCTGTATATTTTACGTGATTTAGATGCACAATTTAATTGTCTATCAAATTGTACTATACCATTTTTTACCTATCTCTTCAAGTTTTCGAAGAAAATGCCTTTTTTATAATTTAGACCTCATTTATCACTATACCCATGGAATGTTGACATTTTAGATTTTTTTTTAAAGTAAGATATGTACAAAATACTATTCAAAAATAATAATATTGCAAGCCTATTTGTTACAAACAGAAAACTATTTAAATCTTTGTAAAAGAGTATACCTATTAAATACAATTTCCTCCCAAAAATTAGTTAATTACATACTATTTTAATTAATAAATTATTCTAAATAAATGTGGATTTGACTCAGAAATCAATATAATAATAAGTTTACGAAAATTAACGTCTCTGTTATAAAAATAAGCATTCATCAAAAATTAAAAATAAAATTTATACTGTCTAATGCACATGCAAAAATTCAGTTTTTTTGAATTTGGATTTTTTTTAGTTTTAGTATTGATTAATCAACAATAAGCAGTCAATTAATATGTAGTCTGAATACTAGGATCATATTAATTGGTCCTTTTAACAAATAATATTTTAATTTTTTTTTAAATTTTTTAATGAAATAATCAAACTATATCGACAATATTAGTATCTATACTCTTTCATAATTTGTTACATCTTTAAAAATAATCTAAAATGTCAATATTCCATGGGTATAGTGATAAATGAGGTCTAAATTATAAGAAAAGGCATTTTCTATGAAAACTTGAAGAGATAGGTAAAAAACGGTATAATATAATTTGATAGACAATTAAATAGTGCATATGAATTAAGTAAAATATACAGGGTGTTCCATTTAAATTAAACAAGTTACAGCCGTTTAAAGCTAGTCATTATTTAACATAAATTTTGGACACTCTAATAAGAGAGTATAATTTTATTATCGCAACACAATATCTGATCAATAAATAATCTTCAGTAAATATGTAGTATTAAAACTTTGATACCCTTGGAAAAAATGAAGCCTTAAATATTTTACTGCAATTTCACAAAATTGAAAATATTTAAAAAAACGGTAAGGTTTAAGTGTGATAAACCCTTAATCAAATTTACCTTTTATTTCATTCGTAGAATCTAAAAATTGTATAATATATATAGGGTGTTCCATTTAAAAAAGTGCAACTATAATATTTTTTACATATTTGGCACACTCTGTATCTTGTAAAAATATTTTAAATTGTAGCTCTGATAGTCCTTCAACGAACCCAGAACTAACAATTTGTAAAAATCTAATCATTTAGCCACAATGCTCCGTGTCGTATGTGGTGAACAACCCTGTATACAATATGATCGAAAAAAACGGCGCCAGCGATAGCTACGAAATGAAGATCGCTGTCATTTTATTTGTAAAATTACATGAGGAATGTCATCGATTGTCATTTCCAAGCCAAATAGACGCCGTTTTTTTCGGTCATACGGTATGTTCTGTTATTTAGTTAGGTAGCTTGTGGCAACACTGGATAACGATGTCATTCACTGGGAGTTGGAAGGGCTAGGAATTTTCTTTTGTGGGTGTTCCAAGTTCCTGAACAATCTGATTTGAGAATTGTTGTCATTTTTGTTCTGTACATTTTTATTTATTTACAGTTCAATTGAAGTATACTATATCAGGTAACTT